GTACTGCAAACTGGCACCCAAGTATATCAATCAAAACTGCTGAAAGCTGAATCCCTGGCTGGTTGGTTGATACCTAGTTGATGGGGTTCTGGAGTTCTTCTACTCCCCAAGCCCGGCCCGAGGCCAAGCTTGACTTGTGAGAGTTTGGTCCACTAGGCTGTTGCTTGGAGCAGCCCGCAGGCCCACGTACCCACAACAGCCCGGTTGGTCCGGCACTCCTTGGAGGAAACAATCTAGTTTCCTCTTGAAGATGTCCACGGTAGTTTCGGCAATATTTCTTATGCTCGCTGGGAGAGTGTTGAACGACCGTGGACCTCTGATGTTTATACAGTGTTCTCTGATTGTGCCTCTGGCACCCCTGCTCTTCACTGGTTCTATTCTGCACTTTCTTCCATATCGTTCACTCCAGTACGTTGTTATTTTTACTGTGTAGATTTGGTACTTGGCCCTCCAGTATCTTCCACGTGTATATTATTTGATATCTCTCTAGTCTTCTTTCTAGTGAGTACATTTGGAGGACTTTGAGATGATCCCAATAATCCCTGGGACGTGTCCACTCACGAGGGCCTAGCTGAGGGTACCAACAAGAACCCAGATATATCGAACCCAAGTCATAGATAGGGAGCAACGAACCAAAAGGCAGACCTCCCTCACCAGGCAGGAAAACAAAAAAGAAAAACCCCGCAAGAGGACAACCTATCCAGGCGGAACAGAGCCGGTCACTATAATAGGTGATAACTAGCTGTGCAGTACCCTGCCATCTTACCAGTGCAAACTATCCCTTACCCTAAGGGAAACAAGGGAGGAAGAAACCCCCAGCAGACTCAGGGCAGTCAATTATCGAGCTGCAAAAGACCAACAGAGGTAGACCCCAAGGTGACTTGTGAAAGATAACCCCAAGCTCCAAAGGCAAAATTAACAGGGTACTTAGGGAAGGGAATCCTAAGCACATGCAGCAAGAGTACCGGTGAAGATTAGCCCCAGCTCACGCATCACCCTGAAGACAGCACTAAACACAAGGCCCAGCACCGAGACAAGAAACAGTAGCTGGAGTCACACGACAAAGCCTCAATCACATCAGCCGAGAACTGGAGGTGTGCGTCACCGGCGCGATGGGTCTGGGGCTCCCCCTTCCCCTTCCCAGGAAGAGGGGGAGCTGCGCAGATGGCGGCGCGGCAACATGATGACGCCATGCTTGTTTCCTTGATTTTCTTAGGGGGAGTTCTGTCCACTCGTTTGACTTTTGGTAGTAAGCTTCAACCAGAATAGGGGTTTGTTTTGGGATGCTTATCTTTCTGGGTGCCCGACCCAGTCGATGGCAGACATAGAATGCTCTAAATCACACGTGCATTTCTATAGGCCATTGCTCCTTGTGCCTCTCTGAGGGGGGCCAGGCTCTGCCTTGTGGTCCCCGGTAAGCCTAAGAACTCCAGTCACACTAACTGATGCCAAAGTCTAAAAGTTTCTTATCAACCTGGATAAGCTCCGGGGACCCGAAGCGGCTTCCCTCAGAAAAGCAGTACGAGGACATGTTTAACACTCCAATAAATAGCATGAAAGTGGAGATCCAGACAACTTCTTTATGCGTGATATCCAAACCCCTGTAAATATAACTGTTATCACGAGCGTGGCAGATTTTGAGAGAGAAATTGACAACATGCCCATGCACTCAGTACCGAGTCCAGACTTATAGAATTTATATTTATAAAGAAAGGCAAAGTGCCAGTAGCACAGACACTCAGTATAGTGTGGAGGGAAGATTTTGGACACAGGGGAGATACTAGATGCGCTTAAATCAGCAGACATAGCCCCTCTACACATTGGAGGTCTACAACTGGTCTGTAAATAATTACAAACCAGTTACACTAGTGTCCCACATAATAAAAGTATTTGAGAGAGTGATCAGGAGTCAGGTCACCAGTTTCATGGAGACCAATGACCTTCACAACCTATACCAACATGGACTTAGAGCTGAAAGATCATGCCTCTCACAGCTACTTGACCACTACGACAATTGATTTGATAATGGTCCAGGACGGACTGAAATGTCATCGTCTCTTCATTTTCTAGTATGTGGTTTGGTCAATACTATGACAAAATCACAGAGGCACTGGAAGAAAAACAGAATGCAGATGTGGTATACACGGACTTTGCAAAGTCCCTCGATAAATGTGACCATGGAGTGATAGCACACAAATGGGAATAATTGGTAAAGTAGGACATTTGATACTCAATTTTCTATCTAACAGAACACAAAAGAGTAATAGTCAACCACATAAAATTGAGTCCAAGCACAGTTAAAAGCTCTGTACCTTAAGGTACAGCCCATGCACCACTGCTTTTCCTTATTTTCATATCAGATATAGACAAAAATATAAGTCACAGCTTCGTATTATCCTGGGGAGCCGGTCGGCCGAGTGGACAGCACACTGGACTTGTGATCCTGTGGTCCTGGGTTCGATCCCAGGCGCCGGCGAGAAACAATGGGCAGAGTTTCTTTCACCCTATGCCCCTGTTACCTAGCAGTAAAATAGGTACCTGGGTGTTAGTCAGCTGTCACGGGCTGCTTCCTGGGGGTGGAGGCCTGGTCGAGGACCGGGCCGCGGGGACACTAAAGCCTCGAAATCATCTCAAGATAACCTCAAGATATATCCTTTGCAGATGACACAAAAATCAGCATGAAAATTACCCCTGCTGAAGACATTGAAAAACTACAAGCAGATATTAATAAAGTTTTCGACTGGCAGAAAAAAATAACATGATGTTTAACAGTAATAAATTCCATGTACTCGGATACGATAAAAATGAGAACCTTAAACATAATACAGGGTACAAAACACAATCAGATTTTGCCCATAGTAGGAAAGCAGCATGTCAAAGATTTGGGAATAATTATGTCTGATGCCCTAACGTTTAAGGAGCATAACCAAGCAAATATTGCATCAGCCAGAAAAATGATAGGATGGATTACGAGAACTTTCACATCCAGGGATTCCATCACAAAGGTTGTACTATTCAAATCAATTGTGCTGTCCCATCTTGAGTACTGCTCAGTACTCACTTTCCCCTTCAGAGCAGGAGAGATTGCTGAAATAAAGGGAGTTCAGAGATCATATACAGCATACATAGACGTGATAAAGCCCCTAAATTATTGGGATCGTCTCAAAGCTCTACAAATGTACTCACAAGAAAGGAGACGAGAGTGATATCAAATAATATTCACGTGGAAAATACTGGAGGGCCAGGTCCCAAATCTATACAGTAAAATAACAACTTACTGGAGTGAACAATAGGGAAGCAAATGCAGAATAGAACCAGTGAAGAGCAGGGGTGCCATAAGGACAATCAGAGAACACTGTATAAACATCAGAGTTCCAAAGTTGTTCAACATCCTCCCAGCGAGTATATGAAATATTGCTGGAACAACCGTGGACATCTTCAAGAGAAAACTAGATAGTTTTCCTCAAGAAGTGCCAGACCAACCAGGCTGTGGTGGATATGTGGGCCTGCGGGGTGCTAAAGCAACAGCCTAGTGGATCAATCTCTCACAAGTCAAGCCTGGCCTTAGGCTGGGATTGAGGAGTAGAAGAACTCCCAGGACCCCATCAAGCAGTAAAGATTATGCTTATTTATATAGCTTGCCTAAAATGTAGCAACATGGTAACTAGTGTAAACAGAAGAGATAAAGAATGCATAAATTAGTGATGTGATGTAAAAGAATGCTAAAACATTATATTGATGACTTACTAGGTAAGAAAAATGTTGCATCTAATTTGATTGGGTATGGAATGCGACTAATGAGGATGGGAATTTACCAGGAGCAACCATCTCCGAAGCGACCACGGCGAGGACAGGAAGCCGGCAGCTTGTCAAAGGTCCCCCCCCCCTTTTTTCTGATGATTTTACAAAGCTGGATTTTGAACTTATTCATTATTTGACATTTACAACTTGAATGGGTGAGAGGTTCCATGGGTTTATAACCTTATAAGAGAAAAAGAATCTCCTGTTTTGTCCTGCATTGTGGCTTGTTGAGCTTGAAGCCACTGCTCCTTTTATGTGTTACATTTGATCTTTAATCTGTAAAGTAGTCTGGAACAATATCTTTTAAACTGTTCACTGTTTTAAAAGTTTTGATGATATCAATCCTGTCCTGTCTGATTAGTAATGTTGTTAGTCCTGTGGCTCTCAACTGTTTCTGATAAGTGTTGAATTATTTCCAAGATTATTTTTATCACCCAATACTGAACTTTCTCGAAACCAGATGTGTTCTTCTGAAGATGAGGTCTCCATGCTTTGATACAGTAGTCTAAATGGTAGCACATTAGAGATCTGTACAGTTGAATAACTACCTACTTTTCCTTGAAGTCAAACGTTTGTTTGACAAATCCACAAGGGCCGTGACGAGGATTCGAACCTGCGTCCGGGAGCATCCCAGACGCTGCCTTAATCGACTGAGCTACGATATGGTTAAAAGAGTTGACCGAAGTTCTACTGAACTTACTGGATCCCGCAGCCTCTCCAAGACACAAACCAGGGTTTTACACAACTCCCCCCATGCACTCGAGCTATGTCAATAGGAATATGTTCTGTGTGTAATGATGTTTGTTTGACTATTCCCAGGGTTTGGTTGGCTTTATTTTACTGCAGCTCCCACTTGTGCAACTTTCAATGATTGGTGGATTCTGAACCCAAGGTTCTCTTTTTTCATCAATCTGCTGCAAGGTCATAATGTAGATTTGGTAACCATGATGTGTGTTACATGCAAGGTCTTTATTATGAGAAAAAGCAATTGCCATTCTTGCAACCATTTGTTGAGTTCATGTAGCTAGATCTCTGTATAAGGATTAAATATCCTTTTCGCTTCCTGCTTTACCATAAATCTCAAGTCATCTGCAAATTTGATGATGTAGTTTGTAACATTCTCATCTGTCATTGATGTGTATGACAAAGGATTGCCCTTAAGATGGAACCTTGTGGTTATATCAAGCAAATTTATTTACCTCCTTAATGGATTCCATATTTTGTAGGACAGCTCCATGGACTGTAGCATCATCTGAGAGCAGCGCCACTTTAGAACTGCACTTAAGAGCCTCTCGACCTAGACTCTGAAGTTTCTTCACCAATACACTGAGACCTTCATTAGGTAACTGGGAAAGAAAAGTAACAGAATAAGCTTTGTAGTGGCAATTGGTTCATTATTAACAATCTGGAGTATGCTTCTTCAAGGACTGAGAAAATGGATTAAGACATCACCAGACACAATGATTTAAAAGATTTATACATAATAAAGGTTGAAAATATGAATGACAGATTATATATATGCAAAAGTACTGAGGTAAGAACTATAAGCACCACAGAACAAGAAAAATATATTTGACTAATGTCAGGTACTAAAACTCCTCAGCTCATATGGAGCAAGTACAGTATATATTGCCTTCCCTCCCCTATTAAAAGATCACCCCACTAGCAAGGTGAACTTCCAGAAAGCCACCTTATGTCTTTTTGTTCTTGTATTATGATACTGAATTATACCTGGGAAGTTTTGACTGTCCTGTAATACAGATGATGCTAAATAGCCTTCCAAGTTTGGAACCTTTTGATAATTATTTGATATAGTCAAATAACTCAAATGACAGAACAGGCAAACACCTGACCCAACTTCCCTGGATGTTCAGGTCACCCAGGGTTCATGTCAGCCACCCCCCTTAACACACTATCCATAAGCTTCATCACATCCATATAGGAAATGAGGAATGACAGGGTAGATACAGGGAGCTACTGAAGTGCTGTCCATCAAGGGGCATTTCATTACTTTCAACACAATTTCTAGGCTGGCACCCATACAATAGTACCCTGGCACTTACTTCCAATGATGCCTCAAAGACAACAAGAAATAATTTTCAAAATGGAAACTACATAAATTAGAGAGACAACAAACAAAAATACATTAGGGTATTCCCAGTCCAAGCCTGCCAGGAGGAGCCTAGATATCCATCTACCACACCACTGGTGTCTACAGCAAAAGGGCAGATTGAGAGCAAGCTCAACAAAGTCCATTACCACCAGACAGATGCTTATCCCTCTCAAATGCAGTAGAGGGAGAAAAGAATTCACATCCTTGCAGGCAAGCGATGTCCTGCCACCACTACTTTAACTAGAAAACACAGAGAAACCGTAGAAGTGGTTGAAAAGTCTTATGTACCAAGTCCAATACTCAAGCCACAAACTCAAGAAAACAAAAAAATAGTGAGAATAAGAGAGTGCCCCAAGTACTCCCAACAATACTAGGTGGACTTTGTCCCTGTTCAGTTCCCTGTTTTTGCACTGCCCCATGTTTGGTTCTGGTCCTGAGTTGTCATCATCTCCTTGTTTGGCACTTCTAGCTTCTGGGTTGTCCTGTATGCAGGTTGATGTGGCTTCTGTTCTTCCTCTCCTACTCCCTGCAGTTTCTTTTCGTTGGGCCGGGAAGTGCTAGGTTTCGGGCCCTGGCTCCGGCCTTTATCTTTGGAGCCAGGAGCTATTCCCTTTCGGGCGGTGCATTTTTGTTTTTCTGCTGTTCACATCTTGGTTTGTTCTCCTCATACCTTACTCAGTATTGAGTGCTTTGTTCTGCCCTGTTGGGGCTGTGTTCGCCGCTCCTGTGGGGTGTGGTGTCCCTGCCTTTCGCTTTGCGTTTCGGTTCGTGGTGCTTGCTTTCTCATTGGCCTCGGCCTGGGACCCGGCTCTTCGTTTTTCATCTCGATTTTGTCCTGCTGTTTGGGGCATCTGCGTTTCGGTGTTTTTCTGCTGGCGGCTTCTCATTGTCATCCATTCTCGGACTTGTTGGTCCTTCAGGGGTCCCGGGGGTTCCTCTTGGATGGGGCGTTTCTTTCCTGGCATGCCAGGTATGGGTTCCTGGTTTTTTGGCTTACCCTGCTAGTTGACATATTCATGATCTTGCGATGTCACTTCTCAAGAGTCTCACATCGGAACCACAGTGTCTCCGATCTCCTGGCAAGCTCGCTAGAATTGGGAAGTTTCATGTACGACAGACGTTCCATCTGGTTCCTTGCCGGCTTGGGTTTCCGACTCTGCTTGCTCGGTAATGCAACTTTAATGAATTTATAGAAAAGGCCTGGATCTGTTTTACATTTTTCCACTATACATTTCTCAAAGTTCTTTTCTGCCTCTCTCCTCACTGCTGTGTACTTATTTCTTGTTTGCTTGTAATGCTAGTATGTTTGCAGGTTAGGCCTCTTCCAATATTGAACTTTTTTTTTTTTTTGTCTTTTCCTCTCTGACCCCTCTCACAATTTCTGTTGAACCAATCCTGTTTTCTGGTCCTGCATCTCAGTTTTGGTATGAATATTTGTGTGCATTCATCGTATATTTTGCAAAATTTAGCATACATCTCATTTACTTCCTTGCCTAGCAACAAGTCTGTCCAACTGAACTCATTAATAAATTTTCTAAATTCCCCAGTGTCCTCTTTTCAGTTTTTGTCCTTCAATTCAGTTTATCAATTGTTTCAATGTACCCATTCTCTTCTAGATTATGTTGCAAAGCATATTTAATTTTCCAACAGGACGTGATCCGGGGAGCCGGTCGGCCGAGCGGACAGCACACTGGACTTGTGATCCTGTGGTCCTGGGTTCGATCCCGGGCGCCGGCGAGAAACAATGGGCAGAGTTTCTTTCACCCTATGCCCCTGATGCCTACCAGTAAAATAGGTACCTGTGTGTTAGTCAGCTGTCACGGGCTGCTTCCTGGGGGGTGGAGGCCTGGTCAAGGACCGGGCCGCGGGAACACTAAAGCCCTGAAATCATCTCAAGATTACCTCAAGATGATCATTATAAGCTGCACCTATTTTTTTAAGGGGAGGGCTTGGACAGGGAGAATGGTGAAAAATGTGTGGTTCATATGTATTCAAAATCTGTATCTCTGTAATACTTCTGTTAGTTGGACAGTAACACATACCTGATTTAGATGAAATGCATCTCGAGATGCTTCCCAAATAATATCTAGGCCAGATGATAGCTTCTTTTCTCTTATCTCCAAAATCTTGTCAAATACTGCAAGCCAAGGATTGGATGATACATTCATATATACCTGAAAAGCATGAAACTGAAAGGATGGCATATTTGCATAAAATCTAACCAAATAACTTTGTTTTGTTTTTACAGAAAATGTTTCTAAATGTCATATCAAGCACTGTACATTTTAAAAATAATTACCTAGCTTAGTAAGACAATTTTGTACTTTATACATATTAGAACATGGCAAGATAATCTGCCAATTACTGCACCTCGTGATTAAATGGTGGCCAGAGTTTAAGGAGTTGTAGTAAAGCTTGTGATTGTTGCATAGTGGTGGTACGTGCTATGAGCAAGGATAGAAGTGATGCTCTTGAGTCATTGCTGGCCAGCTGCTCCTGCTCTACTGTCACAGTCTGCTCCCCACACCAAGCACCAGCTACCACCCCACCAGTTCGCAATACTCGCACAAGCTCCAAGTCTTCCTCATTCAGCGACAAATGCTGTGAAAAGGTAAAGGCAATTCTGAAATATGTTTTCATAAAAACACAACATTAGAGGAAACTGAAGGTCTATTGGCCTATGTGAGATAACTGTTCCATAAAACAACAGCCTTACTATAAAATTACTTGTTACGATATCAACACTTTCTATGGAGTGAGGTGTGGTGACATCGATGCTATCTATGGACCTGCACTCCATCTCCAAGGCATTAAGTGAGATGAAGACAATGCCATCTGTTGGCAGAGGTGTGGAATCTGTGAAAGGCTCCTGTTCCATACCTCAGTCAGTAGGTGAGGTCAATGATGATGATCTCTGGTGAGTGAAGTAATGATAGCAACGCCATCTAGATTGTGCATTCAACTACATTTTCAAGTTCCTCGGTAAAAGGCCGCCATCCAATGATCTTGTATACTTTCAGTCTGGCTAATGATTTTCATGTCCACAGAGGTGATGGGGAAAGTCTATTGCACTGTGGAAGGCAGTTCACCTTGGGCAGTCCCGAACTCCGGACTTGGTCCTGTGAGAGAACAAGTAGCTGCTGTCGGTATTAAGCAGTGTGTCAGTCCCGGAGCTACTTGTGCAGTGTTGTGTGGACTGAAGTACCCGGGATTTGGACAAGAGGAGTTACGTGACGACAGTAGTGGGGTCATCTGCTGAGAAGTGCTGCTAGCGAGTAGACTTCTGTCAGGGTGTTAGTGGTAACCCTGGACATATTATTTGTGACCCCTGTCAGCGTGTTGCTGAAGCCCTCTGCCAGTGTGTTTCTGGTGAGCAGATGTTGGGTATATGGACATCGAGATGATACAGTGTGGGGCTGGCCCATGTTGAGTAAGGTGAACTCGCCTGTGATGACCATTGAACATGGACGACAAACACTTGAAGATAGTGGACTCACCGGGTTATGAAGAACACTGCAGATATATTGAGTATCGTGGGGGAAAGCGACACTGTAATTACCTAAGTGTAGTTACAGGATGAGAGCTACGCTCGTGGTGAGGTTAGCAGTAAAATAGGTACCTGGGTGTTAGTCAGCTGTCACGGGCTGCTTCCTGGGGGTGGAGGCCTGGTCGAGGACCGGGCCGCGGGGACACTAAAGCCCCGAAATCATCTCAAGATAACCTCAAGATAATCCATTTATTTATTGTACTATTACTTACTACTGTCAATTCTTGAGAACTTACCATTGACTTTGGGTGGGATCACAGAAGAAGAGGCTATAAGGCACATTACACAGAAAGAACCCAGTTACTGGCTCAAGCAGGCCGTAACTACTATTTACCAAGGTTTTTTCTAAATTTAAACTTATCCAATTTATATCCATATATATGAATATAAAGCAGAATACATAACAGTCTGTAAAGATACATTGCTACAGAAAATGCACTTATCTGTGCTGGGATCAATATAATATTTAATTTTCTAGCCTTTATATATACTCCGTGTGAATGGAGTTCTTAGGTCTACCGGGGACAACGAGTCAGAAACTGGCCCCCCTCAGAGCGGTACGAGGAGCAATGGCCTATAGAATTGCACATATGATTTGGAGTATTCTATGTCTACCATCGACCGAGTCAGGCACTCAGAAAGGTGAGCATCCCAAAACAAACACCTATTTTGGTTGAAACTACTACTAAAAGTCAAATGAGTGGACAGAACTCCCCAAAGAAAAACAAGCAAACATGCATGATGTCATCACATTGCCACGTAGATGGCTGCACAGCAACGTGGTGATGTCATGCTTGTTTGATTTTCTTTGGGGAGTTCTGTCCACTTGTTTGACTTTTAGTAATAGTCTCAACCAGAATAGGGGTTTGTTTCTACACTTTTGGCTCCAGTGATAGGTTTGTTCATTTGCAACCATCTCCTTTTCTGGCAAAGAATGAGATGACTGCTTTCCGGAGGGGTTCTTGGGTTGTTGATGCTTGGCTGGTCAGCCTAGGGATGTTTCATGTGTTGTGTCCGGTTGCGGCCCGCTGCCATTATTTGCATGCCACGGCTTCCCCCTCCCCAGGAGGGGAAAGGGGGAGTCCCAGACCCATTGCGCCGGCTACCCACACCTTCAGTTCGAAGGCTGGATGTAAAAACACACGAAAAAACTGCTGACCGGAAAGAGGGAGGGATACCGAGGAGCCTCCGGGTCTCACCCAGAAAATGGCATTTCATTATATTCAACACTAGTTTCCTGGGGAAAGCCCCTTTGGCTCCCTGGATCTACTTACCAAGAGACGAAAACACAAAGGACTTATCCAGGAGGCAGTTGGCACTCGCCCCTCAACGCGAAATCAAGACAACTGGCTGCAACCACCGACCGAAAGCGACACAGGCCCGACAAGGACCTGAAACATTAACCATGGAGGTGCGAAGCCAGGACCCTATTCGACCACCAAAAAACCTGCACCGAATGTCAGCCTAAGATATTTTGCCAAAGTCGCCAGCAAGAGCAGCAAACTTATGAATGTTGTGGGCATGGGGATAGACCACAGGCTAACTAGACCAAATAACCCTGCGGACAACCTGGGAGACCTGAACCCTGGAACAGGGAAGAAGGGAAACCGGATTGACCCAAACTGTGTCTACGGACACAGAGGCCATGGCGCGCAAATAACGGCAGAGAGCCGCAACCAGACACAACACATGAAACACTCCATGGCTACCCAACTAAGCATCAACAACCCAAGGACCCCTCCAGAAAGCAGCCATCTCATTCTTCTCCAGAAAAGAAGGAGACAGCAGCAAATGAAGAAACCTATGAAGAGGAGAGCATGAAGCTCCCAGACCCGACCCCCCAGAGGCTAATGCCAACAGGAAGAGAGACTTAGAGAGAGAATCCTGAACTGAAGGGACCACAACAAACCGAGGGAAAGAGAGATAAAAGAGAATCCTGTCCAACGACCAGAACGGCTTATGAGCATGAGCAGGCCGGAAATGAAACAACTCCCAAGACAGCTTGCGAAATGGAGCAGAAGTAACATCGATGCCGAAAGAAAGCTGCAGCGGCTCCACCAGTACCGCACGATATGAGGTAATAGTATTCGGTATAAGATGACAGTCCTGAAAATGCCACGAGAGAAAGGACAAAACCACTTTAACAGAAAGCGAAGTATACCTACAAAAAAGAAACGAAAGGACCGTCAGGAAACTTCATACTGCCGCTGAGACAAAGCACGCAGGTGGGACACCATTAACGAAGACACCTGATCACCATACGGATGGTGATGGACCAGAGTAAAAAATACCAGACATGAATACTCGAGAAGATCAAACCAGCCACGTAACAGACCGGACCGATCATCTGAGAAAGGTGGAGCCATGGGAAAATCCCTAGGTTCGGACACCGAGCAAGCAGCGCCTGAAACCAAGGCTGAACTGGCCACCAAGGAGCCAAGAGGACTCTTCCCTGCTAAGTCTCAAAGCGAGCTAGAACCTGGAGTAACGGTGGAACTGAGAGGGAAAGAAGTACAGGTAATCCCACCTCGACCAGTCCTGCCGAAAAGCATCGACCTCGATGGTCTCGCAGTCGGGGAAGGGCGCCACATATCCCAGGAGACGCCTTGACCACGCCGACACGAAAAGGTTCACCTCCAGGAGCTCGTGCTTCCGGCAGAGCCAACTGAATGAGTCAGCGTCGACTGTCCATTCCGAGGACGGGGAGAATGAACCAAGACAGGCTGTCCGCCAGGATGTTGGACACCCCCATGAACGTGAACGGCCAAGAAAGCCAAGCCCCGAGAACTCAGCAGAAGAGTCTCTCGAAGCAACCAGCCCCAAAGAGCCAAGGACTGCATGGAATCCCCCCTTGGTTCAGGCAACGAACCACAGAGGAAGCAGTCCGAATAGATCCTGATCATCGATCTGCGAGTGACCCGAACCCTCCAGACCACCGCAAACTCCCGCACCGAGCTGTAGGCCCGACAAAGATGAACCCCACTGCCCCTGGCGGGCCTGGTGAGCACTGGTCACATAGCCCCAGCTGAGAGACGACACGTCTGTGAACACATCGAGTGAAGGCTTGGGTAGTCGCCAAGGCACTGAACTCCCAAAAAACCCAAAGAGAAAGCCGGCAACGCAGCAGCCAACGCAAGGCCCCCTGTAGGCCGAACCCCTGCAGTCGCGAGAAAGGCGTAAGGGACATCCCCGAAGGAACCAGAATAGCGAATGAAGCCAAACCTGACCCAGCAGGTAGACCATCACGGTAAAGTTCAGGCTCCCGCACAAACCCTCGACCAACTCCCGAGTGACCCGGGAGCCCCCTAGAAACAAGTGAAGGTGGAAGCGCAGCCGAAGCAGAGACACCGGAGGGAGAGACAAGAAGTGGTCCGAGAGTCCCACACAAGACCCAGCCAAGTTTGAACCTGAGAGAGAACCAGATGGGATTTCTGCCAGTTCACCAGGAAACCAGCATGGAGACAAAGACCTAAACCTGAAAGATGACGGATCCATCATAGAGGCATAATCCAGATCACGCAGGAGGTATCTTCTTGAGGTTATCTTGAGATGATTTCGGGGCTTTTTAGTGTCCCCGCGGCCCGGTCCTCGACCAGGCCTCCACCCCCAGGAAGCAGCCCGTGACAGCTGACTAACTCCCAGGTACCTATTTACTGCTAGGTAACAGGGGCATTCAGGGTGAAAGAAACTTTGCCCATTTGTTTCTGCCTCGTGCGGGAATCGAACCCGCGCCACAGAATTACGAGTCCTGCGCGCTATCCACCAGGCTACGAGGCCCTGTGGTAAGCTACGAGGTAAGCCACAAAGGCTGCCTGCACCTCAGTAGGCGAGATGCTGGAAGCCGAAAACCGGAAGGATGGAACAGACGGACCCGAAGGGACTCGGAACCGAACCCGGGAAGGAGCCAATGCCAAAGCTAACTCGTACACAGAGGGGGGGGCCAGAAAACCCCCCACTCCCTGTATCAGTAAGTCCCGCTCTGATTGTATGAAAACCCAGGCGGGGTCCAATGGGACCCAAGGCCTCCAAGTCAGCCCCTCCCTAACCCTTGGAA